GACTCCTTTTCTTCGTTGCGGTCCATGCTCTCCCGAAGATCAAACGCTTCGACGAGGGCATCGTCGAGAAACTCGGCATAGTCTACTTCAAAGGCCTCGCTGCGTCTTAGATGCTTCTTGAGAATCGAATTGGGATTCTTGGCTGCCCAGTGATCGAGGGTTGCAGATAGGTAATGTTTCCTGATGAGCGCTTTCCGAATCATGTAGCTATTGATTAGGGATGTCTTGGTGTGCGACGAGGCGAACTCGAAGTCGATGGCCTCATAGGGGATGATCTGCAGGACGCTGCTGTCTGATGATGGCAGCGTGCTCGATACGTTGAACCCTTCTGCTGATATGTCGGTGATGAGGTTAAACGAATCCTTGGGCAGCACGGTGTTGAGTGCGGATACAATAAGCGGCTGCACATAGGGGTCGTCGTATGATATGATGGCCTGAATCTTGCTCTTTGCCTCCTCTTTGGGTTTCTCTCGTATGGCCACCTCTGCTGTTGAAGTAGTTGATGCCGTAGAATCAGGACTGAAGAGAAAACTGTAGGTAAGAATATCTTCTATTATGGTCTTCCAATAACAATAATGCATAAATATACAGGGAATTCACATCATCATCAATCGTAACACATCTTCCATCTCGTCTCATAAACAAAGAATCCAAAACGCCAACGTCAGAAACGCAATGGGGTTACTCACAGCTTAATCTCCCTCGTAGCCATGTCTCCCGCGCAACTGGCAAAGTTTGCCTTGAGGGGGGTGACACTGAGACGGGAATCACTGTGTTAGTAATTCGTTTTTCTCCGCAATAGAGGTTTCCCAAAGGATAAAAGTACTCACCTTGTCTGCCCTTCTTTCACTGCCCACCCATCTGATCCAGGTCCAGCGTCTTCTACGGACTTATACACGTCTGCAAATTTGGGTGCCCACTTGAAGTGCTTATGCGTGTGTCCCTTTGGCGCCGTAGCCGCCTCGCTCTCATCACCGACCTCTCCACCGGGCCCTTCCCGTATTCTCTCTTCCTCGAGATCCTCATCATCAGCCGAGCCATCGACAGCATCAAAGCAGCCCCCCTTGGTCCAGTAGTTCTGCAAAATGTCCGTCCACACAGTCGAATGTGTCTCCACGCCTTCAACGAGAGGGACGTTGACGCTATACAGATCCGCGCTGCCATCGGTGGGCCACTGCTTGTACAGGTATTCGACAACCTTGACGCTGTGCCGGCATGCGGCGTCGATGATGACTGGGTCGTGATTCCGCGAGAAAAAGGCAAAACTGAGGGCAATGGCCTTGTATCTAGAAGCAGCAGCTTCCAATGCCGCCCCCAGAGTCCCTGAACTCAGGGCAAATATAGCCGTGCTATTCCTCCCAAAGTTGGGTCCGCTCACAACCAAGTCAACGGGCCCCTTGTCCTGGAAGAAATGGTTCAGTCCAATCTGGACGCAAGAAGCCGGCGTGCCGTCAACAAGGACCCATTCTTCCACGTCGCCCGAGGGAGACGGCCGAGCATGTGTTGTCCCTTCGGAGTCTTCGCCATGGCTGTTGGCCGAGGGTCGGTAATAGACGGGCTTCAGCGTCTGGCCGATCAGATGGGCCTTGCCAATCCACGAGCGCTGGGTGTGAGGGACGCAGACAGAGACGGTGTGTCCCGCCCGCTGCAAGTGTCGTACAAAGGAGTGGACATAGGGAGAGGAGTGAGGCGAGGGCGGCCCGTCGTCGTTGGACACGAGGATATGCATTGTTGGAGCCGTGAAATCTTTGCGAACTACCCGGGAGCTGGTTGGATATTGGCAGTGGGAGGGTTCGGGGGAGGCAGAGCAGCCGATGAGCTCCGGAGACGACGGACCAGAGCAGAGGATGATGTGCTCAGACCATTGAGAGCCTGTGGCTGGTGATGAGTCTGTATTGAAGCGAGCACGCAATAGCTTCAGTATTAATCAAAAGAACGAAGTTGGTAGTGGAAAAGGGAATTGGGGAGTGAGGGGCAGCAGACGTGGGGCAGCACTAGAGTACAGAAGGCCATTCGCTGGCTTGCTAGCTAGCTGAGTGCTAGCATTCAACGTCGTGGATGGATGGAATCATCTCTCAACACCATCATAAGATCATGAGATGAGCCTGATGCACATCAGTGAAGAAGAGAACAGCAACTACAGTGATATGAAAACATCCAGAGGGTATCAAAATAGATTTGAGGGGGGCTCTTGGGTATTGCAGAGTGTACCGGAATCAAGATACAGCTGGGACTGGAAAGGCAGACCATGAAAGGCAAACATGGCCGTCTTTATAGACATCAAATCAATTCCACAATCACTAGTTACACATTCAATACACAACATGAAGCTTAAAAAGAGAAAGAAAAAAAAAACAAGGAAAAAGAGAACCCGTACAGCCATGACCATGATTTATTGAAGAGCAGACCATCGTGACAGAACCTGATATCTCTTTTCAAGTCGTGCATCTGCTATTCGGATGACACATATCCACATTGCCTGCTAAACGCCAAACTGACTGACCGATTTCCATCCATATCCATGTCCCGATTGTCATGGATAAGAATATTCAACATTGCCAAGTGCAAGATTAATTCACAACCAAGATTGCGCAAAGCCGCACTGGCTTGCTCCTCTTCTGCGTCCGCCAAAGGAAAAAAAAAGAACAAAAGGAAACGAAAAAGAAGGAAGCTATTATGGTATAGTCGGAAAAAAGGACAAGAGACTGAAGCAGAGGACGTCGTCTTGTGACATTTAGGATCGAGTTCTCTTGGCGGGGGCTGCGGGTAGCGGGTCTGCAGCAGCTCGCTTTGTGCCCGACCTGTTTGTGTGCTCCTTGGTCCGAATCCATGAGTCGAATGGGCTCTTCTTGCCGGTGCGCTTGATCGGAGCTGTGTCTGCAGATAGCTTGTTGGTGGATCGAGTGGTCCGCCTGGTTTCTGGGGGAGATGCAGGTGCATATTTGGGGGCATCCGGCGTCTGTGCCCTCTCTTCCTTGGCTTTGGCAGGCGTCTCAACTATTTCAACCTTGGCTGAGGGCTTCTCTGTTTCGACGGCCTCCTCAACATCGGTGGCGGCCTCCTCTTCTTCGAGCATATCCTTGGTCTTTGGAGCGGGAGCCTTGGCGGGGAAAAGAAGTCTGGGCTTGATGGAAGATCGTGTGAGCGGTTTCGAGAAGTGAGTCTCGACATCTGAATCCAGCTCTTCGAGTTCCTCCTCGTCATCAAATTCTGAAAACTTGCGGAAGAACTTCTTGCCACGGCTGTAATATGGATTAGGACCCCAGTCACATTATAAAAATCTCACAAAAACTCACAATACGTAAATCATGCCGTCTTCGCGGCGAGAGGCTTCATCAACCGTCTGGGGGCCTTCACCAGGAACGTGGACCTTGCGCTTAGTGCGGCGTTTAGAGGGTTCTGCAGCGGTGGTGGCAGTGCCCACAAATGGGTTTGACTTGCTCTCATCCTTCTTGGGGATGCGATCTTGCGAGTCGGTGAAAATCTCAATGTCCTCCTCGGCAACCTCGGCCCGGAAACTTTCGAGCGTCATGCCTGAAAACTTCTTGGATCGCCTCTTACGCGGGCTTGACAACTCGGTCTCCTCGGCAACTGGAAATAAATTGCGGGCAAAGGTCTGGATGTGGGCGGTGGCCTTTGCAGTCGGGGGCTTCTGGGGTGTCTTGGAAGGCGTGGGAAGCATGAGCGAAGAAGCGGCGGCAGATCGGCCGGCAACATTTTTGTCCTTGGATCCAGAGGCGGCAGCAGCTTCGGCTGCGAGAGAGGCCGTTACGCGACGGACCGAGTCGGCAGCAGATTGGCGCTTCTTGCGCGGAGAGGCAACTGGTGAGGCCATGGCTGCTGTGCTTTGTGCGCTGGATTTGGCTGCGGTGCGCGGCGAGGCGAGTGCTTGACGAGTGGCAGGCGGAGGCGAAGGCGTTCTGGCCGATGTGCGCTGTGCAGATATTCTTGCGGATTTGCGCGGTGAATAAGGCTCCCAGCTGTCGTGGTATCCTAGGCGTGGAGCGGGTGGTGCTCGGATGGAAGAGGGAGGAGAAGGCGTCGAGGGCGCGGCGTCGACGACGGCCATTTTGAAAAAGCAAAAACGAAAACCCGGAAAAACTTTGAGTACAGATATTCGAACCTCAATCGGCTCAGCAAAAGCTAGGTTGCAGCAGACCCGGTACAGCGGTGATGCGTCCCCAGTCTTTCTCCGGACGTTGTCGTGGCAGCGGAAATTTTAACTCGGCAGACGCCAGCAATCACTAAAAAAGCCCAAAAGTAAATAAAAACGCAGCGAGTCCGAACGGCGAGCAGCGGTGAGGGAATTAAAGAATCCTAGGGCGAGAGGGCCATCTGCAATGCAATTTGCGTGAGCGACAGCGATGACGATGGGACGGACGAGCAAGGCCCAACAGGCGATGGGCCAAAATAATACGGCAGTTCGGCTGACGATGTTTGGTGATGGGATGGCAGAGGAGGAGAGCAGGATTCGGCGAGCTAGACTGGAATATGAGAGGCTGGGGCGGCTGCTGGAATGCTTCTGCCAGGTGGGCCAGCCTCCCTTCGCTTGGGCCAGTCCAGAAGGGACCAGACGCGTTGAGGGCTCCGCTCCAGGGTTGGCTCGCCGGGGCAACGCGTCGGTTTCGCGCCACCTGGCACCAATCAGCGGCCGCTGGTGCGCTGGAGCTTGGGGGGGCTTTGGCGGCTGCGATTGGTGCTCCAGGGGGATCAGGTCCACTGCCGGGCCCTATCCTGGCAGAGGGGCATCACCACGGCAGCAGTGCAGTGCAGTGCACAACTTGAGCTTGCATCAGTGTGCAGCTTATGCGCAAGACATTGAGATGAATGGATGGAATAATTGACGACGATTTGCAGATTTCCCCCACTAGGTACATACAGACAACAGACAACGTCACTTGGAAGCACGCGCGGCATTGGGATCTGTGTATTTTATTTCCTCGGTTGATGTAATTGCAACTGCCTCTTGTTGTACTCAAGAGCCGGAACAAAGCACCAAAATGGCCGACCACATGGACGTCGATGATGACGATGCAGACCTCTGGACATCGCCAGTGAAAAATCCCCCGTCAGAACGTCCGAAAAATCCAAAATCTCCCAGAACTCCTCGAACCCCAAAGACGCCCCCGGCCAATGACCGCCAGTCCGAGCCGCTCGATCGAGAAGCAATGCTGAAAAGAGAGCTGGAGGGGGTGCGCAGCATCAACCGAGTCATCGAGGGCGTTATTGGCACTCTGCAGCGAACAGGCAGCAATATGGATGTACGTCTCCAGCTCGATCATCCGCAAACAATGCAGCTGTGGTGGTGCAGTGTAGTGCTAACATCTGTGCCCTTCCAGTCCGTCTCTAAAACCGTCTCGAACGCCTCCACGCTGCTCAATACCTGGACTCGCATCTTGTCCCAGACAGAACACAACCAGCGCCTGATTCTCGACCCCACATGGAAAGGCGCAACAAACGATTTGGCTGAGATTGAGGCCGAAGCGGTGCGGAAACAACAGGAAGAGGCTCGCAAAGCTGCAGAGGAAGAGGAGCGCAAAGAAGAGCTTCGGCGGCGGCGGGAGGAGGAGGAGTTAGGAAGAAAACTGCCTGCCTCGGCTTCTACCCGGGGAGCACGTGGCTCTACTGCCGGTCTTCGTGGAGCCCGCGGCCGAACCAGGGTGGCTACGGCGTCGTCAAGGATGAGGTCCAGGTCGTCGTCGAGGATCGCCACCAGCTCAGGCTATTCGGGAAGCAGCACCATATCAGCCTCAAGTAGCCGTGGCGCCTCTGGCATAGGGAGAGGACTTGGAACGACTAGGAGTCGTTACAACAGAGCGAAATAGGCGTCTGGGCTGGACCCCGCGCATCTCCTTTTCGTGTCATGATATCCCATGCTTGATATTTCTTCATAGATACCCAAAAAGCTTTTAATGCTGTTGACGCTATTTTTTCTGGAAAAAGTGACTGAGCTTCTTCATCCCGCTCGTGTTGACCTTTTTCAGCTCTCGGACTGCACGGCTCTCGCTTGCCTTTTTCTTCTTCTCCTCTTCGAGCTTCCTCTTCTTCTCCATCCGAGCCTCGTCCTCTTCCTCATCCATGTTTCGTTTGCGAGAATAGTCCTGCGCCCTCACCGCCAAGGTTTCTGATCGCAGCTTTTCCAGGCTCGCGAGATAGTCATTCAACAGAGAGAAATCCACCGGCCCGCCTGTCCCTGCCAAGCTCCGCTGGAGATTATCCGCCATGGCTGGGGTCACGTAGCTTGCGCAGATGAACCCAAAGGCCGTCTTTAACCTTTGCTGCTTGACGATTTCTGGTGAGGCTTCCAGAGCGCTAACGATGCCCTCCTCGGCTTGCTCTCCAGCAACAGACGTCGCAGCCGTGCTCGTTTGAGATACTGACGAAGCATCAGTCTCCGCGGTTGATGCTGTAGACTGGGATGTCGCTGAATCGGGCTGAGGGGTGGAGGTTCCAGAATCGGTGCTGCTGTTGACTTGAGCGTCCGCAATCCGCACCACTCTGTGCAAAAGGGGCGCTTCAAGAACCTTCTTGACAAACTTTTCTTCCATACTTGGCGGCAGACCACTCTCGCTCATCCTCTTGGCCTTTTGCAGAACGACATCCAAGAGCTTTTTCTCATTCAACCGAAACATGCGCTCATCTCCAGCCTCGACCGTATCGCAGACTGCGCCCATCCGGTTTTCTATCAATTGCCGTGTTGTGTCCCAGCGCAGAATCTCGGACAAGTGCGAGCTCTCCTGCGGCAGCTTGTCCAAGTGATCATCACTAGACAAGAACAGTCGCTTCGGTTCACCCGGGCCTTTTGATGCCTTTGCGTCGGCCAATGCGGGCAAGACCAAGAAGAGGGGATCCATGGCGGTTGCCACGAAGAGGTCTGATCCCATGGTCACCTGGGCGTCATTGGAGGCCGGGGCTGCTTCGATAAGCCAGCTTCGCGGTACATTCTTTGGCGCCGCTACTTTTGTGAATTCGTAGATGCCGGTTTCGGGACACACGAGATATCGCGAGGGCTGAGAGCTCCGGGGGTTGGGAAGCGTGACAATGCGAGCTTCGGGCGTCGCTTTGGAGGGGAGAATGAAGACCTTGGGGGGTTCGCCGGTATGTGGGACGAGGGTTATTGAGGATTTCGATGTTGAAGATTGGGAATCTTCCGCCGCCGCCGCTGCTGAGGGCTTCGTTGATCGTGTCCGTGCCATGGCGGGAGTCTGATGCTGAATTGGAGCTGTGTATGCTGGAGAGAAAGGACCAATTGATGTCTTTGATGGATCCCAATTGATGCCCTTGTTGGATCCCAGTTAGAGTCAAAGTTTGCGCGATTCCCAGAAGAGATGAGCAGAGCAAAACAGAGCAATAACAAGAGTACATCAAACTTCTGTATCTTGGAAAATAGTCGCTGTCTGCTGTCGCATTATTCCGCACGAGACCCTCCAAACCCCTGCCAAAGTCAAAAAGCGACGCGCCTCCACGCGTTTTTTGCGCCAGTCCCGCGTTTTACTAATGTAGCAGCGGCTCCACCTCAGCCAGCCAAGCAGCCACTACCGGATCTCCACCGATTTGTGCGTGTCCCAAGCCTTATCGGCTGCCCAACCAGCGCATCATTTTCCAGGATCCATAACTCTAAGCCTCAAGTCGAGTTGGAGTTGTGACGAGACAGCGACCCGACGGCCAGTACCTTTACTTGTGCTGACTTGTGCCGACCTGCACTTGTATCTTCCATCGCCGGTCTGTCCAGCATCGGCATCGCATCTTGGGCTTCTCGTTGGATCCAATCCCCTGTCTCGCCTCGTCCGCCCGCTGCTCGTCTCCCCGCCCGTTAGCCGTGTCGCAGGCCTGAACACAGCAAAGCAAACCTCACCTGCGGCCGCATCAGCCCGCCGCCTCCGTATGGCCCCGGGCGCTGACGGATCATAGCCAGGGCCAGCTGCCGGTGCCCTGCCTTGCCTTGTTGTACCTGAGAGAATCCCCGGGGGGTGGTTGGGCAGAGGCACAGCACAGCAAAGCACAACATAACATAAGAGTGGACGGAGCACTTGCTGCAAACAATCCACCATCATCATGGCCCACGGTAAGTGGCCCTCGCCTCGACGGCTGCCAATCGCCACTGACCGCCTGCCAGGACCGCAAGAGCCAGAAGCCTCTTGGCCGCCTCGATCGCCCCACGAAGCCCTCATGAGCACCCCGAAAGGCCGCCAGCGCTACCGGGAAATGATGAATCAGACCTCCCCCTCGCCTTCTCCATCCCGAAGCAGCAGCAGGGCTCTGGCCTCGGTCATGGCGCGGTCCGGGGCGCTCCAGGAGCAAATGGATGACGATGACGAAGACGATGACGAGGAGACGCTCCAGCTGAAGCTGCAAGAGATCCAGGCTCGCCTCAAGCTGAAGAGGCTGCAAAAGGCCAAGGAGTCTGCCGCCCAGGGCAGGGCCGCCGTGAGGCATTCCCGCTCAAACTCGGCTGCGGCAGTCATGCAACCTCAACGCGGCGTCCGCGGAACGACACCAGTGTCTGACAATTCCAGGCCTTCATCACAGAGCATGGTGCAGGTGCCTGCATCTCCCGTCAGAAAAGCGCAGCCAATGTCGGATCCAAAATCACCGAGTAGGGTCCTGCTGGGGATCGACAAGGGCTTGCGGGCAAAGGACATATCACTCAAACGCGCCCCAAGCTTTCGGAAAACAGCAAGCGGCGATGCAGCTGCTCAGCGAGGCTATCTTCAAAGATCCAGAGCCACCAGCACGTCAGGAACAAGATCGCCTGAAGGGTTCCGGCCGCTCAGTTTCAATGAGCGACTGGCGTCGGCGAGGTCGGAAGAGGTGTCTCGCGCCGAGAGGCAAGAGAGGATATCAAAGTTGAGAACCAGTGCTTTCGACATTGGCAAGGATGAAATGGAAGAGTATAAGAAAAACGCCGTTGATATTCCCGACGAGCCTTTGCAGGCCCCGTCTTTTAGCAGAGACGAGGTCTTGGGCAAGCAGAAATCGGTCGCTCCAGCGTTGCAGCGGACCAGCACAGTATCTGATCTGCGTAATGCCGCGGAAAGGGATCCCAATCCTCCAATTCCATCGTCGCGACGCGAACGGCAAAACAGCGTGGCCACGAGCGACGCTTCCACAGAGGAGCAGGGCGCGTTTGAGCCTTACTCTAGCATGCATCTTTCGAAACGGATACTGCCCCATCGAGTTGTTGCAAGGCACGTGTCCGGCAAGAAGGTCTTCAATGTCAAGGATCTTCTACGCGAGGTCAAGGCTCCGGACTTTGCCCTGCCAGAGGTCGAAGAAGACATTGTCGTCTTTGCGATTGTGGCCAAGAAATCAGAGCCTCGAGCGCACAAGCCTGCCGCCGGCAAGAATGGGCAGAAGGCGGAGGACCGTGGCAAATACATGGTGCTGACTCTGGTTGACCTGGAGTACGAACTAGATCTATTTCTGTTCAACTCTGGGTTTACTAGATACTGGAAGCTCACCGAAGGCACCGTTGTCGCCATCCTCAACCCCAACGTGATGCCGCCACCGCCCGGAAGACAGGACACGGGACGCTTCAGCCTGGTCATCAACTCTGACGAAGATACGATTCTCGAAATTGGATCGGCCCGCGACTTGGGCTTCTGCCAGTCAATCAAGAAGGATGGAGACATGTGCAGGTCTTGGGTGAACAAGAAACGGACCCAATACTGCGAGTTTCACTCCAACGAAGCCATCAGAAAACAACGATCAACACGCATGGAAGTGAACTCGAGCGGGTTTGGTGGTGGCATCCGTTTCAAGGGTAAAAATTCGTCAGAGGGATCCGTACCGGACAAGAAGAAGCCCAACAACTACGACTGGGAAACAAAAACGCATTGGTATGTAGCAAAAGGACACACGGCCGCGGATCTTATTGACGGCAAGGACCGAGATCCTTCAGATCGAAAGGACAAGGCAGAATTTCTACGACGAAACATGGAAGCCAAAGAAAAGGAGCGCGAGATGATGAAGAAGCTCGGCCAAGTCGGCAATGCCGCCGGAAAAGAGTACATGCAACGTTCAGGATCCCGAATCGACGCGGGTGGCCCAACACCCCCCGGCAGCATGAGCTCTAGCCAACAGTTATTCAACATGGACGATCCCTTTGCCGAACCTGCAAAACCAGACGCAGTCACCCTCGGCCTCCTAGACAGGGCCCGAGACATTCACCTCAGCCCAGTCAAGAGGAAGCGGACCGGTAGCTCTCAGCCCGGATCCCTTACCCGGAGTAATAGTGTCAATAGCAGCAGCACGACTTACAGCAGACCATCTGGCCTTGGATGGGGCGGCGCGTTAAAGGACAAGCTATCGAGCATGAAAGATGGGGAGAAACTCAAACCAGAACAGCCACCACTCAGGAAGAAGACGCGGTTTGTGACTGAAAAGGGCATCCGGGAGGCTGGTCGAGAGAGCTTTGGCAACCTGGCCGAGAAGAACCTGGCCGACCGACAAGTTGTACTTCAAGACGACGACGATGAAGACGAGTTGGTCATTGTGAGGTAGGCCAAAGGCGGCCTGTCCGAACCAGGCCACAGCAACAGCAACAGTCACCATTGGGCGCATCGGGGGCGGCATCAACGACGTTATGACTACCATATACACTAAAAGGCATGGACAGGGAAATTTGGTTTTTTTTGTGGCATCAATAGCATTGTGTAGTTTTAGGCACATTTTTTCTACGGGCACTACAGCTGCCCCGAGGTATTTTCCTTTGTTTTTACTTATTTCCTTTTGTTTCTTTGAATAGGCTGGCGGAAATGGCAGAGGGGGCTTGGGGCCAAGATCTGGGTGAGCTGAAGCTCACACAGATGCTGTACGAGATAAGAGGAGTAAGGATAGGACTGTTTTCTTCTTCTTCTTTTTTTAGGCTTTAGGATGGTCATGTATTTTCCAGAATACGACATGTTGTGCATATTTCGACGCTGTGTTTTTGTCTCTCAGCCGCCTAGTTGGTCACGATGGTATCACGGGCGTACTTGGCGCTTGCTCGTGTTGCTTGTGTGACGATGAGAAGAAGTTGATTAAGGTTAAGAGGGGGAGGTACTTGGCATTCCTTCTGGCACTACGTGCGTTGTTTCTCTCCGACGGGGCTAATTGATTCTTGCGAGTGGACAGCAATTGGGCAGCGGCTCTTGTGGTCCAACTTTTGTGCCGTGGCCCCCCCCCCCAGCTAAGGCAGTGTATCGTGGCTAACGAGCGTTTTCTTGACATCACCATGTGCAGTGTATCATGGCTAAGAAGCGTTTCTTGACACCAGCTAAGGCGGTGTATCGTGGCTAGAGAGCGTTTTTGTTGACATCACCACGTGCAAGTTGTTTTTTTGGCCGTCACACCACACCTTTTTTTTTTATACCGCTTCCTTTATACGAGTCCCATCCGGCAAGCCACCCGAGGGGGCGACGAAAATACTAGCTGAGTCTCTCCCTTGCTGTGGGATTGTATTTTTAGCGCTTCGAGTTTTTATTCGTATGACAAGACGATCACATCCCGATGAATCCAATGTCTTTGACGTCAACTTTGGAAACTAGCGAGGCTGGGGGAAAGCATGTTCGGTTTGGTGGGCTTGACACTTCACGTGGAATCCGCACAAATGGGCTTTTTTATGGAGGTGGCGTGTGTTAGTACACGGTGAAGTAAGGTAAACTGTCTGCTTGATAAACGCCACAAGAAACGGTGAGGCAAAAGAGAAGCTGGGCGAACTACAAGGCGCCACGGCAGCGGAGGGGATGGAGGTAATACGATGTAAGCTTAATGGGATTGAGTATGGCTTGAGAACAAACACAAAGGTGAGGGGCGGGAACTTGTGAGGGGTAGCGGCGTTTTTTGCTGGGTCTTTTGATGTAGTTGTGCATGAGATGGGGAGTTGACGATGCTGTAAGCGGGATAGGTTGGGGATGCAAAATGTTGTCCAGCTGAAAAAAAGTTGTTCGTTGATAGAGTTCAGCTTGTACGTGCAATGTAGGGCAGCCTGTGTGTGGGGTTTATTCTCTTGAAGGGAGAGGAGATGATTTGATACCTGATTGGGAACGTTGCCAAATACGAAAGAGAAAGCAAAAATAGAGGCAGCGAGATGAGTTGTGTTGTGAAAAGAGGACGTGCGATTTTTGGTAATAAAATAAGTTTCATGTTCGAAGCCTGGGATTGCATTAGCTTGAGGGGGGGAGAGAAATTCTGTTACACGCAATTTCGTCAGTTCGTATTTGTTGTCCAAGCGGGTGGGGGAGAGGGAGAGGCATTGAGTGAGGGATGGGAGGCTTTTGGCTTTTATGCGATGGGACCTGCTGTACATGGATAGGCTCGGATGATTGCTTGGTAGATGGGAATAGGAGATTGAATGTATTTTATTGTATTGTATTGTGTTGTATTGTAGGGTGCAACAGGAGCTCTGCTTCTTGATGGTTGTGATGTGCAATGCATCGTCGAGATCGGCGAAATAGGTATGCATGGCACTCCATTGTATTAAATGGCCAACCGTAAGCGAACTGAAGAGGCCAGCACAGGAGATTTATTCTTGTTTTCCAGCGGGCTTCTAGATGATTGCGATTGACGGTTCCTTTCATGGGCAAGCCGACAGGGCTCCCCAATCCGGAAGATTGCGAGTGCGACTCCGTATCTACTTACTTGTTGCTTACATGTGCCTTGCTGGGATCAGTTTTGAGAATGGCGGGATTCCCGTTTCATGCCCGTGGGCGAGATTGCAGCCAATTGGCGGCGGCTCAACCCACGGTTATGTACCCCGTATAAGTAGAGGCAGCCAATGATGCTGCATAGCCGCGCTGTTTTCTCCCCCCCCCCTGAGATTTAACTGGATCTTGCGTATTTGCGTTTTGTTTAACAAACAGACGATCAATGGTCATGATTTGTCTAAATCTTGGTAAGCCGGCGAAATTTTCCAAGGGGGCGCTGATGCGAGGCTTTCGTCCACCTGACTGTAAATGACTAAATGAATGAGAGCACTTCGCTACGAGGCGACTGGGGGGAGGAAATCATGACAGGGTTTTTTTCCCAGATGACAGCTTTGGGTTCAGATCGTTCAGCCACTTGGCCCGTTAGTGCTCGGTTGGGCGTGGGTTTGTGTGTCTCAGACAAGCGCGGTAGGGGGGGAAAACTGCGGAGTGCGAGTACACGCGACGGTGATATAACAAGAATGAAGACAAAGAAAAAGAAAAGGTTCATCTTGGTGTTGACTAGCGTGACGGTGACGGATCTCAGTTGGTTGACTGCAAGGTAGCAGTCATGATTCAGTTGGCCCTCGAGTCTAGTATTTTGGTACCTAGTGCTACCTCAGATGTGCTGTGGATGGAATCGAAGAGGAAATGCTTATTTTGCAGAATACGGATAGCCCGATTCAGCCAGCCGGCAAACAGAACAGAACAAAACAAAACAGAGATGATGCTTGCAGATGGAATCCTTTCCCTTCGTATTGTAGCTGGCCACTCGAGGTTTAATAAATTAAAACAAAAAAACACGCCATCTAGTGTCTTCCACTGGAGCTTCGATGCCGTAAACTATTGCTTGATAGTCTGTGCCAAAAAAAAAAAAAACCAAAATCGGTCCCTCCGACGGTGCCGGTTCCGAGACGAGACCAGGCACCAAAAAAGCCCATCCCATCCATGGCGCCACCACGCTGCGTTTGTCTGCGTTTGCGTAGACACGAGCAGGTAATTTCACCATTTCAACTCTGCTTCTAAAATTATCACGCGCACGGCCGATGTGTAGCGGAATCGAATCATTGGCGATGCGGCAGAGTAGCACCGCATGCTGCCATCGCGCTAGTCATTTGCAACTATCGGAGGGTTCAGTTGAGCGTCTCTACGATCTAATTTGGTCCCAAAGCTGCAGCTGAGCTGAGCTTCTTTTCTCCCTCGACTGCCTAATAACAATAGAGCTCCATCACATGCTTTGCATAACAAAAAAGCATAGCGACACAAGACAAACACATCAAATGGGATCGACAGACGGTGAGGCGGAGATGGAGAACGCTGTGACCATGGCCCGGTGCCCATCGCTTGCATTGCCGTGGCCAAGGTTCAAGGTCAAGGTTCCATCCATGCTGTCCGACATGCGGTGGCTGCTGCTACTAGAAGTACTAGCTGGATGGCGCGCATCGAGTACGAGTACAGTGCAGTTACATGTGCAGAGAGGACCCGTTGATGTACATCCGAGGAATGCCACGAGGATGTTTTGGTGTTTGCTGGCTGCCATGGAAGAGAGTCGGCGAGAGCTGAAGACTGCCCCTTTGCTTGCTCTCTTGCTACTACTACAGCTGACGGGCTTGGCACGGTCAAGCATAACTCAAGCTTTGGCTCGGGAATAAACTAAAAAAAAGACTTAACAACAACACACTCGTAATGCATTTCTGTCCCTGAATGGCTCTCGGCTTACATACGGCATCCCTGGCCCGTCACCAGCTTTGTCGGCTCTCGGCACTATGCTGTGCCCAAGGGAGCCGCAAAAGCCCCTTCTCGACGCTCCCAGCATTTGGGATATGAGCCTTGTTTCCGTACAACAAGGCAGAAGAGCTGGGAAGGGATCACCATCGACATCGTACGTTCCTTTCCAGGCGCCTGTTGTAGGTACCTGTATCCGCACATACATGCAAAAAGTACATGCGCCGTAAGCCGCAGAAGAACAGAAGCTGGTCGGCGCTTCGCCGGCGACCGTGTCTCAGGCCAGCGCATCGCTCGCTCACTCACTCATCGCGCGTCCGTCCGATCTTTTTCGCGCGCGAGAGAAACGAACGCAAGGCCTTGAAGATACTCGCAGGGAAACAATGGAGCCTCCCCGCACACCTCCTGTGCCCTGAAATCTCCTTGGACGCCTCGCAATTCCCGCTTCTGGCCTGGCACGTTTCGACGGCGCCTGTCCCGGGCCCTGGCACTAAGCCCCAATCCAGGCTGGAGCCGCTGCGGATTGGATCACGGCGCCTCGTATCGTTGTCCAGCCCTGGCCTGAAGCAGCTGTGGGAGAGTACCGGGAGTGTACTTTGCATTGGACGGGATTGGATTGGATTGGACTGGATTGGGCGCTCGCAAAGCCCGGCGTGGCGCCGCTCCAGCAAGTGTCTCCACGGAGGAGGCCACATCCCCTTCGCCTTCCCTCCCTTGACTGACTGGGTGCGAGCATGTACTGGGCTTGTACTGGTTCTGTGCCGCTGAAACGACGAGAGAAAGAAGACGAAGAAAAGAAGTATCCAGGGATGGACGCCGGCCATGTTCAACTCGACCGGGGGAGGGCAAGGCAAGCCAATGGCGTGGACCACGAGCACGAAGCCCGTCGATTCTCTTCTCTCGCCCCCCCATGCCATCACCATCAGCCTGCCTGCTACCGAGTTCCCGGCGCCTTGCACCACGAGCCCTCGTACCGGCCATGTATCTCTGGAGGATTCGACCCTGTGTGCTCGTGTGAGTGGGGTGGACGATCCGGCAACTAATCCCAAGAAGCCCAAAGCAAATAAAAGAATACAAAACGTCCAGCCTGCTGCTTTCTGCCCACCCCCTGACCGTCCTGGCGAATCCCTCCCGCTCTATCCCTATTCTATTCTATTACTACCTTACCTGACCTGACCTGCTCGTACATGGTATGGTAATAATACCCTCCGTCCGTTTCTGTTGGTAGTTATATATACCAACCTCCGGTCGTTTTTGCACTCCTCTCGTACCCAGGAAGAACCGAACCTGCGTTAGGGAAGGGAACTCGCTTTCATTCCACAACTTCCTACAAGGGGCGCGCCTCTTCTTTTTTTCTTGTCTCTCGCTTCGGATTCTATCCACCCTCTTGCCTTTGCGATTCTCCTCGTTCACTCTTTTTTTTCCACCACTCTCCCTAAAACCCTCACACTCGTTTTTTTGTTTTAAACAAACGCAATCATGTTATTGCGGGCTTCCGTCTCGGCGCTGGCTTTTGCCGCCGTTTCACTCGCACAGGGCACGACACACATCCCCGTCGTTGGTGTTCCCGTCGCTTCTGGTGCTGCTGTGCCGCTGAGACAAAATATTAATGACCTGGTCAAGTCGGGGCCGCAATGGTAAGAGAGAGCCCCTCTGCCGAATACAAAACAAAACATGAGCCATTGGGTGTTCCAGCCGCAATGGGGACGTGGGAGGGAAAATTGACGAGTTGATTCCGAGGGGCTCACATTGTGCGTGTTATAATAGGGATCTCTACGTTCAGGCCATGTATAACATGTCCAAGCTGGATTCCCACGACCCTTACAGCTTCTTCCAGATCGCCGGTAAGCTTTTCTTTTCTTTTCTTTCTTCCTCCCGCCAGGTGACGTGACTCTCGGAGCTTTTAGTAACACCAGTTAGGCATCCACGGCGCACCGTACATTGAGTACAACAAGGCCGGAGCCAAAACCGGAGACGGCTGGGTTGGATACTGCCCTCACGGTGTATGTGTTCTTGATCCATTGACTAGGCAGTTGCCCTTTTAACACGTTGTTTAGGAGGACATCTTCGTCAGCTGGCACCGCCCCTATGTTTTGCTCTTCGAGGTATGGTCATCTTGTGATTGTGTGATTGTGTTCACCGCTGACCTCTTCCCAATAGCAAGCTCTCGTCTCCATCGCCAAGGGCATCGCCAATGGATATCCCGCCTCAGTTCGCGCCACGTACCAGGCGGCTGCGGCCAGCCTGCGAGCCCCTTACTGGGACTGGGCTGCCGACAGCACCGTCCCTGCGTGCACCGTCCCCAACACGCTCAAGATCAACGTTCCCAACGGCAGCGGCGTCAAGTCTGTTGATTACACCAACCCTCTTCGAACTTACTACTACCCTCGCATGGCCATGACCGGTTCCTACGGCTCCGACTTCACCGGCGGAGGCCAAGACCACACCATTCGCTGCCCTTCGCCTCAGCAGAACTACCCCAACACCGCCAACTCCAACCTGGCTGCTCGCCCTTACAAGTCCTGGATTGTACGCGTCCCTGGATCTCCTCTTCATCTCTGCCCGCCTCTTGCTAACACGAGCGTAGTACGATGTTCTGACCAACTCTCAAAACTTTGCCGATTTCGCTTCCACCAGCGGACCTGGTATCAATGTTGAGCAGATCCACAACGCCATCCACTGGGACGGTGCTTGCGGCAACCAGTTCCTCGCTCCCGACTACTCTGGATTCGACCCTCTGTTGTAAGTTGGGAAAGGCAAGCAAGATCGTGTACGGGGCAGAGAAACTGACAAACGCAATCTAGCTTCATGCACCACTCCAACGTCGACCGCATGTGGGCTTTCTGGGAGGCCATCATGCCCAACTCGCCCATCTTCACTGCCTCGTACAAGGGCCAGTCCCGATTCAACAGCAAGACCGGAGCCACCATCACCCCCAACTCGCCTCTGCAGCCCTTCTACCAGGCCAACGGCCAGTTCCACACCTCCAACACCGTCAAGAGCATCCAGGGCATGGGTTACTCCTACAAGGGCATCGAGTACTGGTCCAAGACCCAGGCCCAGATCAAGTCGGGCGTCACCACCATCATCAACCAGCTGTACGGACCCAACTCCTCCGGCAAGCGTGAGGTCCGCGCCTCCGACCTCATCAAGACCCGTTACTTTGCCAAGATTTCCGTCAACGTCACCGAGATTGAGACTCGTCCTTGCGAAATCAACGTCTACGTCGCTGGCCAGAAGGCCGGCAGCTTGATCGTCATGAAGCTCCCTGCCGAGGGCTTGGTCAACGGTGGCTTCACCGTCGACAACCCCATCGAGGGTCTCCTGCACGGTGGCGGCCGCAACGCCGTCCAGGCCTTTTCCAGCGACATCGAAGTTGAGATTCTCACTGTAAGCTTTCCTTTGCCCCTTTGACTTGCGGCTTTTACGTATAGATTTATACTGACACCACTGTGTAGCGCGACGGACAGAGCATTCCTCTCGAGAGCGTTCCCAGCCTTGCCATCGATCTCGAGACGGCCAACGTCACCCTGCCCAGCGCCCTCGACCAGCTCCCCAAGTACGGCCAGCGCTCAAGGCACCGTGCGAAGGCTGCCCAGCGCGGACGCCGTTTCCCTGTTCCCCAGGGCCTCCCTGGCCAGTAAGCGAATAGGCGTACGCTTCCTCGATTTGCTGCAACGATAATTTTTTGGCTATTTAAGTTGTTTTTGGCATGTGTGTGTGAAGGAAATTAAAGAACAAAATGAAGCTTGAATATATACATACGACTTTTTTTTGCACCCCGAGAACTATTACTTTTTTTATTTTCGCACCCGTGGATGTTGGCAACACCGGTTTTTATAAGCCCCTATCCCAGAGAGGGTTGTTAATTTTGCTGGCTTGACGATATGGGGTATTTTCTGTATATAATGCTTCACTCCCTCTGTGTGTGTCTGTCTCTCTCTCATTTACAGTTTTCGCGAGCATTTACGCGCGCGCCTTGGTTCTGTCTGGCATGCCTATGGTCCCTGTGGAGGGATCTAGCGGTTTGGATATGGATTAGGATAACGATAATTGAGTATTGATAATTTCTTCTATATGTGTGTGTATGGGGAGAGTGTGAATTGATGTTGAGTTAAAGATTGGGATGTGATGGACGCCACCACGCGGTGGACTTGATAAGCCTGCGTGGCGCCTTTGATGGTTTGTCGTTGTGGAAAACGACTTGGATACATGGAATTTCCTAGTATTTTTTTTTTAAAAGAGGACTTTTACTTGGAGCAGTTTTGATTGAGAGAGGGGATACGAAAAAAAAAGAAGTCAAGTTTGAAAAAAGGACAAAAAAAACATGCGACCTGTGTGGATCGAACACACGACCTTCAGATGTCAATTGAAATGACTGGAGTTTGGAAGACTTCAGTCTGACGCTCTCCCAGCTGAGCTAAGGTCGCAAGTTGATTTGATCGGTTGGTTTTACTGCCTATACGTTGGAGATTTAGCGCTGACTAGTTGATGGTTTGGATGAGGTTTGGGGAGTTGGCTTTTGGGGTGTGAGATTGGAATTGAGATTGGAATTAGGATATGGGGTGATGTTTTGGAGTGTTGGGTTTGTATTATTGTATTATTGTTGTATTGTTGGACTGTTGACTGGGTTGTGTGAATGCCAATGTTGGTGAGACGTGGTTTTTTTTGGTCTCATCGTGTTGGTATTGGGATGGTGAGGTGGGAAATGAGATGCTTTCTTAATGTGGGGGTTGAGAATTCGGTTGTTGGAGGGTTTGATTGTTTGTAAGGGATTTGCGAATATTTACATTGCCAACTTAATTCTAGCTGGAAGCGTTTTCCGTGCCAGTTTACGCTTTATGTGATGTTTTGTGCAGAGTTGGAAGGGTCTAGAGTCTTGAATCGATTTTATGGGCAGTCTTTCATATTCGCAAGCTTCTGGATACAATGGTATACTTATTCCATTTCTGGACCTGTTATCAATGGGCGGGGCTTGGCTCTGTACTTTATCGTGGACTTCTTTCGAACGCTCTTTTTGGAACAATTATAATAGTTCAGAGTTGGGATATATCATGTTCAGTAGAAGGGATGAATAAATCTGGTTTCAACACAGATGATTCTGAGTAGGTGCGAAAGAAGGAACAAACTGTCGTGTAGCGCACTCTCGGCTCCATGGCTGCCTCAACCCAACAAGGAACCATACTTCCAGCATCTGGGTAGATGTGACCTTGATACATCTCGCTGCGGTATTTTGCAATGCCTTTGGTAGGAAACTAGCTTTTTGCCAGGATAGACTAGCCGAGCCAAAAGTTTGATTATTGGGGAGGAGCACCAGCGGAAATGTTTGACTTGGCCAAAGTTGGACTTGACACACACGACTTCATGGCTGTCGAATTAATGACGATGAAAAGTCACTACAACCAAAGACACATAACAAGATTCTATGAAGTAGGTGGCTACGTATGCGTAGATCTATACCAGGGACTGTCATACCGTTGATAATTCCACCAAAATACGGACCCCAATGTGCCCCCTTTTCAAATACTCTAACGAGTAGAATGGTCAACACGCAAGCTGGGTAATCCACATCATCGGCACATCCACGCTGTCATCTGGATGAAACCACGTCGCAAAGATCTGTCAAGAAACCAGGGCCTGGTCCCGATATCCCCCGTCCTCATCACTGCGAATTGCCGAAGCGGCTACTTTGCATACCGGCATACGCTTCCGCTCTGAACAGACCCAACGATACCAGGAGGCTCTAAGATAGCACCTGGATGTCGTAAAATGTTGAATGGGAATTACATGACTCGCCGCGCGCTACGGATGTGGCCTGCCGTGATGATGCTCGAATCCTTTGGACACGGACCACGACCAACAAGGCGCGCCCTTCAAGGTATCTTGATGCATTATAACACGCTCTGCTGGTTGAGTTACAATATTAGTTGCATCATGCAAAGTTGTCTAAGCGTCAGCGGGTACCTGGTGAGAGAGTGTATTGAAAATTTTTCATTATTCGCCTTGCGTCTTCAAGATGGACCCTTGTCTGTCACTCCGACAGAATGGTCGCACTTGGCATCGTCCAAGAATAGTTATGCGGTGACGAAGAGTTCACATGGCGGAATTCACATATGAAATGCCCCGAATTTGTCATCGTGAACCACCTTGGGTTGTAGCTGGCTCGTCGCCGCCAAGAAACATCACAGCGTTAGCCATGAGAGAAAGCTCCGCTGACGGAGCAACTACGTGTTTAACGCTGTGTAATACGAGACGCTTACATGCTGGATGCATGGATTGAGGCACCGTTACATACGAGGATTATTAAGATGCTAGATTCTTGCCTTGTTTAATCACGCGTGAGTGCCTAGAGGAGGCCGACCGAGGCTCAACTCAGAATGGCCTGCATGTCGAGTTACAACAAAGTATTGCGTGGCTTTCAGCTTTCAGGGATGCTATATACTGCTATTGGTGGTAGAACTATTGGTGGGTTGGCTGGGTCATGCTTGAATATGCAGGTTGTTGTACCACGCTGGGCGAAAAAGGGGCAAATGGCAAACTCTTCCAAACCGCCACAACACAGGCCCCTCCGCTATTCTAGAGATAGGCAGTTGAACAAAGGCTGAACAAAGGCTGAATGAAATGATGGTTTGATTGTTCAGCTCGAGTCCGCGGAGCAGGTGATTCCTCAACAGTTGATAGCAAAACAGGTTGGTGCAACCGGAGAAGCGGGCCATGAATAAGACGGTGCGACGGCCACGGCTCTGGCGGCCTACACATGTAATGTAATCTGGGCACCACTAGATTAGCATCATATATCATGTCGTCTTGGCACAGCTAGTATCCAAGCCTGTGGAACGAGAATCAAGTAGATTCTGTTGACGAGGCCGCGGGCTTCCTGCTGAGAGCCGAGCAAAGGATTTGGTCTACTGGCGGATGGTCTGGATCGTCAATGTTAACGCCGCCACCGATGGAAAGATGCTCTTGTGATGTGATGTGAGTTACAGGGCAACCAAGAGGATTCGATAGTCGACCGGGTTCCACGTGGCTGTATTGGATTTAAGCGACATTCTATTCCCATGCTAGAAAGAAGCTTTTTGAGCAAACCTGCCCGATCCGCCATCTCGGCAAACAGAACAGGGATGGCGTGTTGTTTGTCAAGACGCCCTTCTGCACATGTGTAGTCTGAGGTAGGTAGTAGGGGACGTGTACTGTACGGGCACAAGTCACAGTATATTTGCGGATTTGGCCGAATTTAGACGAACAGCCGTCGATATGCGGCATCGCCGAGATGGGCAGGGGAGACGAAAGATTGGCTTTTTGCGTTGGATTACTTTGGCGCCCCCTTTTTTTTTTTTTGCTTACTCGAACATGTGCGTTCCCGTACGGGGCTGCACTAGGACCAGACGCCGTCTTGTTTTTATCCAGACGGCGCGTCGTTGTTGCTGTCGATTATGGTGGCGAATGATTGATTGAATCCATCGGGCATTTTCTACTTCACTGGTGCTATTTAATGGGTTGTGATTTTTAATGTCGTCGCTGGAAAGGAACCATAAAAGAGACGGACCCCGGATTTTCTCCGCGTAATGACGAACTGCACGGCATAAAGTGAAATCGGAGATGCGGGCTGATTATTGCTGCGGGATTCGAGACTCGAATTGGAGAGACTCGGGCGAGCAAAGGCCGAGTCAGGTTTTGGCGCCGGCAGATGAAGATCTCGGTCCCCGCTTCTTTTTGGCTGGCTTTTAGCGGAAGAAGTGATGGGAATAGTTGCGAAACAAAAAGAGGCAGTAGATGCAGTAGAAACATAAGCTTGAAGTCAGCCACCACGCGAACGCTAATGTTATGGAGTTTTTTCTTTTCTTTTCTGGATCGTGTGGTGTCGGACCAGGGCAGCCATCGCCGTTGGTTTCATCTTGCTTCGTTTTCGGACATTAGTAGGAGGTATCTGAGGAGGTTTCCTTTTTCTTCTTGTTCGTTTCATTCCATTTCTGCTGTGCTGCTCAACGTTTATTGGTAAGCCGGCTCAAGAAGAAAAAGAAAAAGAAAAAACTTCAGCTCCGTCAGATCACCGTCCTGCTCGTGCCCTTCCACATCGCCACACAGTGACATGTCGCTCACTCAGCGTTCAAAATGCAGGCCCTCGGACATATTTCGTCCCTGTGCTCCTTGACTTCCGTCCGGTCCCATGAGATTTGGCTGCAGCCATCCAAACAGACAGGCGGGAGCGCGGCCACAAACGTGGCATGCAAGAGGTTGCACACAAACCACCGGGTCCCGTAGCCAATGACCTCGAACTTTGACGCCAGCTTGACCGGGCATCGACACGAGAATCCGGGCTCTTCTCTCGCCTCTACTGACTTACTCGCAAGCGCAAATTAGCACGCTGCGCTTAAAGCCATCGCTTATCTTAGTGGCGACGGCGGCGGGCGTGGGGTAAATGGATTGGATTGGATTGAATCCAGGTAGCTTCACTTCAGCTCCAGCTCTCTCCAGGTTTTTGTTCGAGTCGAGTCTCTTGATTCATGCAGACGGCGGACATGGACATGGACATGGACATGCATCTTGCGCGGCTCTTGCTCAATCTTGGTGCAACTGTGACATCAGCCAGATTCCCGTTCCCGATCGCCATTCGGGTGCTTCGGAAACGGCCTGCTCAAAGGAG